CTTGGCAGGAGGTGGAAGTCAGAATAGTGGTTACTCTTGGGAGGTACGGATAGAATGGGACGCAAGGGGCCCTCTGGGGGAGCGGGAGGTGTTCTGTATTTTGATCTTGATGGTGGTTATATGGATGTACATATGCAAAATTAATTGTACTGTTCACTTAAGATTTGTGCATTTTACTCTTTACAGTTTATACCTCAGTTGACAAAATGAACACCCTCTGAAGGCTTCCCATTTCTTATAGAATAAGGTCAGGGCCCCTGGCAACCACCATTCTACTTTCTTCTCTTTGATTTTGACTACTCCAGGTGTCTCATACAAGTGGAATCATAAATTTGTCCTTTTGTGTCTGGCTTGTTTCACTTAGCATAATGTCCTCAAGGTCCATTCATGTTATAGCATGTGTCAGAATTTCCTTCCTTTTTAAGGCTGAATTGTTTGAATATACCACATTTTGTTTATCCATTCTTTAGGCAACGGACACTTGGGTTGCTTCTACTTCTCAGCTGTTGTGAATAAGGCTGCTACAAACATGGGTATACAATTATCTTTTCAAGTCCCTGCTTTCAATTCTTTTGGATATGTGCCCAGAAGTGGAATTCCTGGATCATACGATAATTCCACTTTTAATGTTTTGAGGAACTGCCACGCTGTTTTCCACAGCAGCTGATTTTCCATCTCCCTGACGGTGCACAGGGGTTCCAGTTTCCCCACATCCTTGCCAACAGTTGTTATTTTGTTTTTTTGATAGTATCCATCCTAATGAGTGTGAGGTGGCAGACTCACATTTTGAAAAGGTCCCTCAGTCTACAGCTCAGAGAACAGAGAGCTTCAGACAAGTGTCTGTGACTTTGAATAACAGAGCTCTGAGCAGGAACTTTCCTGAGGGCTGTCTCTCCTTAAGACCAGGGGTAACCCCTGGGAATGGATTGTGGTGACTGAAGGGTGACAGCCACGTTGCTGAGGTCAGAGTTTTCTGTGGCCTGGCACTGCCTAGACTGTTGATCAGTCTGAAAACACAGTGGCCTTTGGGTTTGGCCATGGCCCCTCCCTGGAGGGCATTGAGCAGAGGCCCAGGGCCCTCCTTTTTGAGCGTGACTCAGTGGTGAGGCGTTTACCTGTGACGCACCTTCAAGGCACATGGCGATGCTAAAGTGTTTGTTTGCTGGAACTCTAAGCTGTGCCTGTGTCTCTCTGGGCTCTGGGAGATTTTTTCTTTTAACAGTATTTTATTGAGATTTTTTTACATAGAGTAAAATGCACAGATCCTAGTTTGCTGTATGAGTTTTAATATATGTAAACACCTGTGTGACCACCTCCCAGATCCAGATCCAGAACATTTCCAGCCCCCAGAAGACTCCTTCGAGCCCCTCCCAGTCAGCACCCCCCAAGAGGGACTGCTGTTCTGACCTGTTGTTGGACTTGATGTAAATGGAATTATCACAACACTGGGCTCATTCGTGTCTGGCTTCCTCCACTCAGTTGTGCAGTCGGTCGACATTGTTTCCTGCAGCCTCGTTCCTTTTTACCACCGAGGGCTGGCCCACAGTTTGTTTTTCCTTTCCCCTGCTGGGGACATCTGTGTTGTTTCCAGTTCGAGCCATGCTGAGAAAAGCTGCTGTGAACCAACACATGTGTCTTCCTTTTTCCTGGGTAAGTATGTGGGAGTGGAATAGCCAGAACGTAGGAGAAGTAGATATTGACTGTGTTATAATCCACCATGCAATTTTCTAAGTTGTATTATTTTACATGCAACCTGCAATAAACGACAGCTCCAGTTGTTCCATATCCCAATCAATTGGCAATTGCCTGCAGATGACATGTCCTGATGAAATTCTCCCTGGTGTCAAGGTGTCAGACAGAGTTGTAAAGAATTTCCTTTCTTTTCCCTCTTTTCTGCTCCAGCGGTGCTGTCTGCTCCTTAAATCTGGTCAAATTCTGGTTGATGCAGGAACATAACGGGGACTGAAGGGTGCAGAGGAACACATGGCCTCAGTCTCTGGAGGCATCTCAAAGAAGTTAGTCTTTGCTGGTTCTGGTGCATCTAGGCAGAGTGCAAGAAGGAAGAGAGGTGCAGACATATGTCTGGCCCTGGGACTCTTCTGCACATTCCATACCTGTTTGACCCCCTTTAAAAAAATTTTTTTTTATTTAATCATAATTGATTATACATATTTTGGGGGTTCAATGTTGACATATGTTGATCAAATCAATATTACTTGTATATATATTGTTACAAATCGTACTTACTCTTTATGCCCCTTGTCCAATCTCTCCCCATCCCCCTCTCCTTCCCCCCCTCCCACCTCTGATAACCCTAGATTTCTTCTCTCCTTCTGAAAGAGTAATGGTTACTCTGTTGATTTGTTGCCTGGATGATCTGTCCAATGCTGAGAGGTGTGTTCAGGTCCCTGTCAGGTCCGCTGCCGGCCGACCCGAACAGCCCTAGCCTCGTTCCTTTCAGTGGGCGAGCAAACGGCCCAGGATTCCTCTTTCCCTCCTGTCCCCTTTGGAAGGAGATGGGGGAAGAGAGCCATGAAGAGAGGTGAGCACAGCCACCGGCTCCCCAAAAACAGCCCAGTTAAAGGACACTCAGGTGTGGCGGGGGTTCTGTCAAGCAGTTCCGTTTATTACCACACAAGCACTTGCTTTTAAAGGCAAATGGGGAAGGGAGGTTTTTTACATAATCTTATCAGCTTAAAAGTCAAGAGAGCATGCATCCTGTCTCAATGCCTAGCTATTGCAACCTCGAGTGTGGAAGCACGTATTTGGCCAATAAGGGCTAAAGCAAGTTTTCCACAGACACCCCCACCCTACTTCCTCCTGGCGCCATCTTAGGCTGCCACATTAATACGCCCTTGTGGGCCCATAATGGCACTGCTTGTAACGTCACTTAAGGTGGCATTAGTTTTTAAGGCCCGACAGATCCCCACATATTATCATAGAGAAGATGCTGCTTCTGTCACTCTGGAATGGGCTTTGTGGAGAGGGACATCCTCTTCTTTTCTTTGGTCTCTGCTGGTGACTCTCCTTGTGTCAATGCACTCCAGTGGCTGGTGGACCATCTGCATGGTGGTTGTGGCATTTAGCCACTTTCATGGCAGCCATGGTTATTATGGTGGCTGTGGTGAGCCACCACATGGAGGTGATGTTTTGGGCATGCTCCTTGGAGCTGGTGGTGTTCCTGGCTGTGGGAGTGGGGTTTGGTCCCCTGATCCATGCCTCAGGTTCCTGGGTGGCCCTGAGGTGCTGGCAGTGTGCCTGGGCCAGAACTATTTTGTCCTTTGCTTACTTCTAAAATGCAGGAACTTCCTGCAGGGACCAGTACTTGAGCTGTGTGGTTTAGGTAAATTGCTGCTTTGCTGCTGATTCCATAGAGAAGGCTTTTTGTGCAGCTCAGATCTTACTGGTTGACTTCATAGGTACTTCTGGCTATCCAGAGACCCAGTGCACCTGGGTAGTGTAGAAACTCTAATCTGGGCATGAGTTTTTTCATCAAACTGCACTCCACGCAATTCTATATTCCTGACCAGTCTCCTCTGAATGGTCCTATGCTGATTGGGGGGCAGATCAGCTGTCCTTGCTGTGCCCCAGCGTTCCTCCAGTGGGCCCATCTCCCCCACTGCTCATGCTGCAAACACTTCCCATGGGACGGGCCATGTGCTGGTCCCTTGCGATGACTCACTGGCCTCTGAGTGGCTCCTTTTTTTCAGTTGTTCTGGCTCCTCGCTCCAATGTGGGTCCATGGGAACACTGTTAGTGGTCTTGCTGTCCTGGGGGCCACCAAGGCCCTCTTCTCCCCTGCTGCTTCAAAGCAACTTCATCCGAAGGGCACAGCTGCGGCTTTTGTCGGCTCCTGCTCTGTGCACTCAGCAGCTCCAGCCTTAAAGTGGCCATGGCACAAAATGGTCAGAGCAGTTTTTCTTTCTCTCATTGTGGCTTCTCCCACCTTCATGCACTCCATAGGTCTCTCCTCCTCTTCCCCTGAGCTCTAGCAGCCCCAGCTTGGCTGTCATTGCTTTTTTATATAGTTGTAAATTGGTTGATTTGTGGAAGACAGTGATGCTGGGGACTGTCTATTCCACCATCTTGACCAGAAGCTCCCTGTTTGACCCTTAACTGGTCATCCCCAGCTTGATGACTGGGCCTTCTTGCTGGCATGTTGCAGGGACCTGGTCGACTTCGGGTAAGTTTATTGTCACAGCTCCCCTCCCCCTCTCCAGCCTATCCTGCTATTCTCTGTTCAGCCAATTATTTCCCTTAACGAAGTGTTCAAGCCAATTAAAGGCAGTTTATTTCATATGTCTCCTCCCACCACCATGTCACTTGGAATGTTCTATTATGTCCAAGACTTGTCTTCTCCCCAACCTAAAGACCTGAAAAAAGGGAGAGAGAAGAGAGGGAGAAAGAAAAAAGAGATAAATTCATAGAGAGGAGCACCGGAAGCTCATGGGGCACCCCTATACTCTGGAATAAAAATCTCCATTATGGTGTTTTTCTTGCAAAATGTTTCTTCCTACATAATTATGTTTTTACACGAAGAATAGAAATTTAAAAGTGAGAAAGACTTTTTAGAGAGCCTAAGTATCCTTATTTAGCTTAGGTTGCTCCTAATTAGCTGTGTGACTTTGGGCCTCTGAGCCTCAGTTTCTCTGTGTGTAAAATGGGTTGAAGCAGGCCTTCCCCACCAGCACCCTGTGCACAGGCAGTGCCCAGCCCCATTGTTTTCTGAACACTGTGACTGAGCATGCTTAGGAAGCATGGTCACATAATTTTGGACAGTGTTGTCTAGAAACTTGCTGTGTAATGCCAGTGAGGTCAGGTACTTCAAATTTCTATGAACCAAACATGACAGTCTCAGGGACGGAGCACAGGAGGAGACAGGCTGGGAAGGTCATTGGGGCTGGCTGGGAGTGCCTACTTACCTCCCTTGAGACACCTTCAGCCTCCATCCCCCACCCACTTCCTCATGCTCCGGGTTCCTCCCCACTGGAAAACTACCAAGTTGCTTTGGTTTCTGTTTCTTTTTGAACGTGGTGGAGAGAATGGCCTTCTACGGCACCCAGGCTCCCTACCTGAATCCAGTGAGTTCGGGGCTGCGGGCAGGGGGCTGGCCCGGGCTCGGCTGACTGCCACAGCCAGGGGGGAAGCAGCTCTGGGTGTCTGAGGAAATAATTGCTGGGTGGCAGAGGCAGTGGTGGGGGCATCCCCAAGAGAACACAAGCAGGGCAGAAATGCCAGATGGGGTGATCCTGTCTCCTGTCGCATCTTCTGTGCCATGCCAATCTCACCTGTGCCTCTGGGGACTGGAGGGATGTTAATCACCATGATTCATAGGTTTGACACGTTCACTGAGCTCCCTCTGGGTGTCTGTCCTGTCCTGGGTCCTCAGGGGAAGAAGGCGTGAGCAGTCTCTAGAAGGGTGAGGGCTTTTATGATGGGAAGTTGTCTAGCATCTGGGAGGGTGACAACCAGCATGGTAGCTAAGGGGAGATAGCTTCCCGGGGCTCAGCCATTCACTGGCTCAAGCAAGTTCTTTTCGCCTCTCTTGGCCTCAGTTTCCACATCTGTAAAATGAGGATAATACTGGAGCCCACCTCCCAAGGTGGATTAAGCAAGGTGGGGTATTAGTGTGTTTGAACGGTGCCTGGCACGCTGCAGGTGCTGTGGGAGTGTTTAGTGTTACCAGGAGTCTGGGGGCAGCAGGGAAGGCTTCTGTGCCCTGAGGGTAATTTGAAGTTAACAGGGCAAGGACGGCTCCAGGGTGTCTGCTGAGGGGCAGTTTTGGAAGTGAGAGTGGAGTGGGGACTGTCCCTGCATTGTAGGGTGCAAAGGGCTGCCTTTTGCACTTTTTTGCTCTGTGTGTGTGTGTGTATGTGTGTGTGTATGTGTGTGTGTATGTGTGTATGTGTGTGTGTATGTGTGTGTGTATGTGTGTGTGTGTATGTGTGTATGTGTGTGTATGTGTGTGTGTGTATGTGTGTGTGTGTGTGTGTGTAGGCCCTTTCTGCAGGTGGCCTTGTTTAAACCCAGTGAGATTTATCATCCCTCTTTATACGTGGAAAAACTGAGGCTCTGAGAGGTTGAGGCCACTTGCCAAATGTCCCCAGATGGCAAGTGGCAGAGAAGAAAGGTGACTTGATTTACCCCAAGAAGAGGGGCTGCATGCAGAGGGAGCAATCGGGGGAGGCAGGAAAGCGACAGCCCGAGCCAGGATCCTTCTGTGGTCACTGTGTCGTGGGCCAGGCCCTGTAGCAGCGTCCCTCCCAGTCTTGGCAAAGAGCTTCCCAGGGGACCAGGGTGGGTGGGCTGACAGAGCCCTTGCTAGGTGGGGGGCTGGGGGTTGGGGGAAGCAGCCGGTGCTGAGGGCGGGAAGCTGCTAGGGCCTCCTGGTGGCCTCCAGTAACCCCCCAGCCACCCTGTGGAGGCTCTCAAGGTGGCATCTGCACAGAGGGGCTGCCAGAAGCTGAATGGGCTCACCAGTACCTCTGTGGGGGCCTCAGGGTCAGCATGCACCACCTTGGGTGCATTATCCCTCTGTGGTTCTCCATTGGGGGGGTCCCAAAGCTTCCTCCAGGTGCTGACATCTTATTTATTCTGGTGACTGGTTTTTACTTTCAAATCTTGGGATTCAGAAGCCAAATTTTTCAAATCAGAGAAAAATCCTCCTATAGTCAACAGAGAGTTAAAACAGGGCCTTGTATGGGCCGGCCTGGTGACGCACTGGAGAGTGTGCCGCTTGGGAGTGTGGTGGCACTCCCACCGAGGGTTCGGATCCCATGTGGAGACCGGTTCCCGCTCACTGGCTGAGCGCGGTGCGGGAGCAACACCGAGGGTTGCGATCCCGTTGCCGGTCAGTAAAAAAGACAAAAAGGAAAAGAAAAAAAACAAAAAACAGGGCCTTGTAGTCCAGACAAAGAAAAGACCAGTGCAGCCCTCAGGCAGCCCCTCCACCCACACGGACTCCCCCAGGCTGGGCCAGTTAAACCTCCCTCGGGTGACCCCTTGTCTTCTGGCAGTCGGAGCCACACTTCCTCTCACATGCTGGTGGCAAGGTCATGCAGCCCGCTGTTCTGCTGAGGAGGCCTGGCTTGGAAACCTCACTTCCATTTCTTATCTGGCCTCCTCAGAGGGCCAGGAGGGAAGCTAGAATGACAGGGAGGATGGGACCTGCTGCGTGAAAGCACTTGGTGCAGGAACAAGGATGCTTTGTGCTTCATAAGGAGAGGCAGTCTGTGCGGTGGTTCAAAGCATGGGTTCTGGGGTTCAAATCCCAGCTCTGTTGCTGCCTGGCTGTGTGGCTTTGGGCAAGTTACTAAACCTTTCTGTGCTTCAGTTTCCTCGTCTGTAAAAGTGGCACTAATGACAGCCAGGGTTGTTATAAGGATAAACGAGATAACACAGGCATGGAAGTTTGGCTGCCAGCAGAGCCTCAGAACCTCTGTAGCAAAGAGCCCACTGGCTAAAGGCCATGCACTCCTCCTGCTGGGCAGACTTGGCTGAGCTCCCCACTGCCGGTGACGGGACTGGGTGACCTCTCATGACACCAAGTCCAGAAGGGGGCTGCCCACACTCTGGCCTGTAGAGCTTAGCTCTGCTTTCTGGACTTCCAGATAGGAGAAGGAGGGAAAAGTCCCCAGCTTCTGGGCACAGCCAGGAGCAAGTTGTGTAAGGAGGGGACTAGGGCACAGACAGTCAAGTCAGAACTACTAGCACACAGAGCTGGGAGGCGAGCCCAGGCCTGGGGGACTATAAATTCAAGGCAAAAATCCATCCTCCTGCACCGCATGGAGCAAAAGGGGGCATGGTTGTTTCCTGCGCTCCTGCTAGAATCCCTCACTAACACACACGGGTCCAAATTCCACAGCAGCCTTGGCCAGCTAGGCTGAAAACAACAAATCTGTTCTCTTACTGTTCTGGAGGTTAGAAGTCTAAGCTCAAAGTGTCAGCAACTCAAAGTGTTTCCTTCTGGAGGTTTCAGGAAAGAATCTGTTTTCCTGCCTTTTCCAGCTTCCGGAGGCTGCCTGCACCCTTAGCTCCTGGCTCCTTCCTCTTTCTTTCAAGCCAGCAACTTCTTGCTTCTGTTGTGACGTTTACTACTGAGTAAATCCTCCACCTGCCCCTCATAGAGACCCTTGTGATTACACTGGGCACACCCGGATAGTCCAGGATAACCGCTCCATCTCAAGATCTTTGACTTAATCACATCTGCAAAGTCCCTTTTGCCATGTAAGGTAACATATCCGCAGGTTCCAGGGATTAGAATGTGGATGTTTCTGGAGGCCTGGGGGTGGGCGTGGGTATCTTTCAATCAATCAGTGTTATCACTTTCTTGTGAATCCTTCCAGAAATATTTTATCTATAAATAAGGAAATGCATGCATAGCCTTCCCTCACCCATTTTTTCTACGAATGGCATCATTCCATTTCAGTGCTCAGAGTTCCCTTCTTCCTTTTCTTTTTAAGGCCGCATAGATTCCATTGTATGGAAATGCCATCATTTACTTCACCTCTTTCCTATTGGTGGACTTTCAGGCTCTTTCCAATTCTTTGCTGTTATAATGCTGCAACGAATAACCTTGTTTGCAGGATTATACTCAAATTAAGATAATCTTGTTTTTCAAAATTTGGGGACACCATTTAAGACATATTGAAATCTCACAAAATTTTGGGAGAGGATGGTTGCCTTAGAGATTCACCTGTACTGTCCCACCCCTGTGATCTGTACCCATTTGTCCCCATTCCTGTCCTCCTTAATGTTTTCTATGCACTTAGGATCCCGCAGCCAACACACTCTGCTTCCAGTTCTTTCCACCATGCTTCCAGTTCTTTCCACCATAGTGTGAATGTGCTAAAGTGACAGCCACTCGCTTTCCAGGAGTCTGTGCATTTAAGCATCATCTCTCAGGATGGTTTGAAAGGCTCTGAAGAGAATTCCAGGCTTCCACAAACAGGCCAGGGGAATAGTTTTCAGGGAAGGCAGGCTTTCCAATACCTTTAAAATCATACCATGCCTTGCTGATCCGTAACTGTATCAGGCTGACTCTCCTTCCCCAAAACCTTTGGCATGGACAGTGCCTTGGATTGAGTGTTCCCCCAAAACTTAACCCCCACTGTGACAGTGTTAAGAGGGTTGGAAATCCTATCGTGGTATTTGAAAGGTGAGACCTTGAAGAGGTGATTCGGTTGTGAGGTCTGTACTCTCGTGAATGGATTAATCCGTTCCTGGAATAATGGGAGTGCTTCTGGTGGCTTTAAAAGGAGACTTAAGGAGGAAGGTACTCTCTCTGCTCTGCCATCTGCCATGGGAGACCCCTGCATCACTGTCACCACCAGCAAGGCCTTCACCAGATGTGTTCTCTGGACTTTGGACGTCCCAGACTCTGAAACTGCAAGCAATAAATTTTGTTTTCTTATAAATTACCCAGTTCCAGGCATTTTGTTATAAGCAGTAGAAATGGACTAATATAAGCGGGGACAACAAGAGAGAACTTGGAGACACAGAGAAGTTGTGATTTGCTCAGAGTCACTAAAGTATTTAATGACGGAGTTCAAACCTGACCTGAGGTGCAACAAAAGACACCCCGAATCCACAGATAGCAGAGTCTGTCCAAAGGAGACCCCAGCATTGCTGGGGCTTTCACAGCACCAGCCGTGTACACGGGGCTAGGATGCGTTTCCATAGGCTCTATGTGGTCATGCAACTCAAGGACACAGGCCAGAAAGCAGTGGCCAGTGGACTGAATTTGGCTGTTAGGTGGTTTTTGTTTGGCCTGCACAGAGTGTGTTTTTAACTTTTAATTATAGGAAATTCAAACATGCAAAGAGGATAGTATCATAGACCATGCATACCCGTCACCCGGCGTCAGCAAAGACCGACTTCCTAATCCGCCCTTGGATTATTTCTTTTGTCCTTTTTTTTTTTCTTTCTTAAAAAATTTTATTTTATCATTACACAATGTAAACATTTTTTGTGGCCCTTTGCCAATTTCTCCCTAACCTCCTCTCCCCCTTCCCCTTTCCCACCTCTGGTGTCCTCAGTTCTCCTTTTGAGAGTTCAAGGACTTATTGTGTTCCTTCCTTCCTTCCTTCCTTCCTTCCTTCCTTCCTTCCTTCCTTCCTTCCTTCCTCGCCTCCCACTTATGAGTGAGGACATGCCAATATTTCTCTTTCTGTGCCTGGCTTATTTCACTTAACATAATTTTCTCTAAGTTCATTCACGTTTCTGCAAATGGTACAATTTCGTTCCTTTTTATGGCAGAGTAGTATTCCATCGTGTATATATACCACATTTTTCTTATCCAGTCATCTGCTGATGGACGTTTAGGTTGGTTCCAACTCTTGGCTGTTGTAAATAGAGCTGTGATAAACATGGGAGTGCAGGTGTCCCTTCAACATGATGACTTCCATCCCTTTGGGTACATACTCAGTGGTGGGATTGCTGGATCATATGACAGTTCTATATGTAGTTGTTTGAGGACCCTCAAATATATTTGTTTTGAGGACCCTCAAATATAGTTGTTTTCTATAACAGTTGCACTAATTTACAGTCCCACCAACAGGGTGGGAAAGTTCCCCTTTCTCTACATCCTCACCAGCATTTGTTATTCTCTGTCTTTTTGATACTGGCCAGTCTAACTGGTGTGAGGTGATATCTCAATGTGGTTTTGATTTGCGTTTCCCTGATGCTGAGTGATGCTGAGCATTTTTTCATGTGTCTGTTGGCCATTTGAACATTTTCCTTTGAGAAATACCCATTCAGCTTCTTTGCCCATTTTTTAATTGGGTTACTTGTTTTTTACTGTTGTCTGAGTTCTTTGTGTATTCTGGATATTAATCCCTGTCAGCTGCATAGTTTGCAAATATTTTCTCCCGTTCTGTAGGTTGCTCTGTTAACTTTTTCTTTTGCTGTGCAGAAGCTTTTTAGTTTGACATAACCCCATTTGTTTATTTTTCCTTTTGTTGCCTGTGCTTTTGGGGTCTTGTTCATAAAGTCTTTACCCAGCCCTACTTCCTGAAGTGTTTCCCCTATGTTTTCTTTGAGTAGTTTTGTAGTTTTGTGTCTTATACATACGTCTTTAACCCATTTTGAGTTGATTTTGGTATATGGTGAGAGGTACAGGTCCAGTTTCATTATTTTACGGATGGAAGTCTAGTTTTCCCAGCACCACTTATTGAAGAGGCTGTCCTTTCCCCAGTGTATACTCAATTATCAACTGGCTGTAAGTGTGTGGGTTGATTTCTCGGTTCTCTATTCTGTTCCATGGGTCAGAGTGTCTGTTTTTATGCCAGTTGTTTTGGTTACTATAGCTTTGTAGTATAATTTGAAGTCAGGTAGTATAATGCCTCTGGCTTTATTATTATTTTTATTATTTTTGCTCAAAATTGCTTTGGCTATTTGGAGTCTTTTGTTGTTCCATATGAATGTTAGGATTGTTTTTCTATTTCTGTGAAGAATGTCCTTGGTGTTTTGATGGGGACTGCATTGAGTCTATACATCGCTTTGGGTAGGATGGACATTTTCACGATGTTAATTTTCACTCTTGAATTATTTTGAAGCAAATCCAGATATATCATTTCACTGCAAATGTTTTATTGTGTATCTCTATAATATAGAAACTCTTATACCCTTTCTGAAGGATTTTTTTCCCCCCAGAAATTAGAAAGTTTTATGGAAAAAAAAATCTAGATTTCTGTCTTCTCTTAAAAATTTGGAAGCTCTGCCAAAACTGGACCTGGGTGGCAATAATTGGTCAGAGCTGAGTGGATGCTGCCCCTTGACATGAGGGGTGTAATGTCTGCTTTGCCGTTGTCCCTACCAGTCCCTATTGTGTCCTACCTGTCCGTCTCCTACCTTCCTATTACCTGCCTGGCTCCTGTAAGCATTTAAGTTTTTTAGAGTATTGACCTAAAAGAGATGTTAGAGAAGACACTGACAACTTGCAAATGTGAAAATCAGCTAGGAGATAGAACTGTGCCTTAATGTCAGTTCAGGACCACATTGGATAAAAGGCATTTCAGCTGTAAGCTTTGGGAGCTGGGAAGTACCAATTTGGGAATTTTGCTCAGAGAGACCAAGGTGTGGGGTGGTGGGGGGTAGGCACCTACTATGTGCCTGTGTCTTCCACAGACTTTTTCTCACTAAATCATTAAACAATCTTATGCAGTAGAGGGATTTATCTCTATTTTACAGATGAGGAAACTGAGACAAAGAGAAGTTAAATAGGCTTCCCAAGGCCGCTCAGGTAACGGGCAGCAGAGCTGGGACTCACAGCTGGAGTCTTCCTGACGCTAGAACAACGCAGGCCTCACCGTAGCCCATTGCCCCTTTAAAGGGGCCCAGAAAGGAGGATTTGACATAGTGATTGGGGCCTAGGATGAGTGCAGATACCACACTAGGGTTTCAGAGGCTGCTGAGGGTCTGAGGGAAGGAATGGGGAGCCTAGGAGCAAGAGTAGAGGAGGGGGGTGCCTGTGGCCCAATGGAGACACTTGGGAAGAGGCTCTGCTTGAGGTGGCTGGTGGGGCAAAGGTCATGGTCACCACTGTTATGTGGTGAGTGGGTTTGGGTGGGATGTCTTCCTCTTGGCCCTCTCAGGTGAGTGGAAGGGTTACCTTCCAGAATACCTGATGAGTCCCTTTGGTCCCTTGGGCCTCCTGAATCCCCAGCCAGGGCCCTAGGGCCTTTGCAGGGAGCTTGGCCTGGGGTGCAGCAGCCCCCATCTCAGGCCGTATGCATGCTGCTTCCCTGCCTGGAAGGCCCTCCTCCCGGTGGACTCTCAGACTCTCATGCAAGGTCAGCTTTCTGTCACGTCCTCTCAGAGCCAGGAGGTCTCCTTGCCCCAAGCTTAGCACGTCTGTGTAACTAACTGGATTGGTGCCTGCTCCTGCAGAGGCCCGTAAAATCTGTGAGGCCAAGACTCCCTCTGCGCACAGCTGCATCGCGGAGCTGTCTGCCCAGGCCAGCCATTGGCAGGTGCTGAAGGGAACAGACAGGAGACAGCCCAACTGACCAATGGTCCCGATGTCTTCTCCCTGCAGATTGTCCCCTTTTCTGGGTCAATACAAGGGGGTCTCCAGGCTGGACTTCAGATCATTGTCAATGGGAATGTTCTTAACTCCAGTGAAACCAGGTATGTGGATGGGACTGTTGTTTCTCCCCGGCCTTGTCCCTTAGCAAACCAGCTTGCCTGTGAGCTTGGGTCAGTTCTGACAACCTCCAAGCTCACCAGTGCCTGGCTCAGGTGCTGCACAGGCCCCTGTACCAGTATAGGGTGCCAAATGCATCCAGGGGCACCATTAACAAAGACTCCAGGGCTAGTGGGTCCCCGAGGGCCCCAGAGAACTGGCAGTCTGAGGCGGGAGGTGGCATGGCCCAGAGGCAGATGATTATGTTGCAGGGCTGAACTTTGCACGCTATGACTCAGAGCTGCAAAAATAGAATTTCCTTTATTTCCCATAACTGCTCTCACCTACTTTGAAGCCCTTATCCTCCTGTAGTGGAAATATTTAAATATTTAACATCAAAAGTAATTAGGTCTCTTTCGGTGGGAAATCCTAAATCAATTCAAAATACCAGCATCTTGTCAGTGCTGTCTCCCACCCCTTCCTCCGTCCCAGGTGAGCTGTCTGGGAACAGGGATGAGCTCACGTGTCCTCTCAGCGGCTGGAGGGGCCTCACACAGGCCTGGCTGACCCGTGTCTGGGTGGTGCACAGGTGTGTGGTTCTCACCGTGTTTGTTAGGGACTCCGTGGTGGCTTTCTACTCCCATCTTGTCTAATAGAGACTTTCCCCACCTCAGACAGTCCCTCTTCCCCTGGGAGCTTCTGCTCTCTCCCTTCCCTGGGGCAAGAATCTTCAAAGGACGACAGGAATGAAGCTGATGGACCACAATGGGAAAAATACACCCAGAGATATTCCGAACAGTACTGTCCATTTACAGAGAACGTGGACTTAGAGTTTGTGATTCCAAAGTCTTCTGGAGCCTCCTTTCCTCTTAGTATTGCCAGAGACAAGGCTGGCTGGATCAGCAGTGTCCCGTGGGCCCCACTACTGAGGGCTCACAGAACGACTGCTCATGTAATCATCCCTGAAGGATGTCACCCCTTTTCTGGGTGTGGCAACTTGAGAGTGGTGTGGTTTAGGGGTCATCCCAAATGTAAACAGTGCAGAGCTGGGGTGTGATTGCAGGCCTGCTTGACTTCGGGGGCCACCATGCCCATACCTCACGTGTTCCCCAAAACATACACCAACATCTAGTGAGGGACAGACGCACATAGCAGAAATTTTCATGCCTGGAGAGCTAATATTTATTCTGTGCTTCCCCTATTCCCTTTAGACATTGTCTTTCCTGTGTTCTTTAAACTTGTTCTCTTTCTTCCCAATTAAGCAGGCATGGGCTGGCTTTCAACACGGCTGGCCCCCAACAACACCAGCCTCCAGTGAGTGTCCACTTGGCGCTCAAGGCTCTCTCCCAGGCATGCTTAACCACTTCCACCTCTGATACCAATTTGTAATGAGTTCCCAACACCTATACTTGTTGCTAGTGCCGGCACTTTTCCTTACCCATTTTCTACTTATTTTTAGAAAATCACACTGTAAAGGCAAAATGCAATGATTGCGCAAAAACACATTAGGTCCCAATGAGGCAAACCAAAAGGATGCCAGCATACTAGTCTGTGCCACGCAGGTTACATGCAAGTTCCCAGACAGACATAAGTCAAAGGCACCAAGGTCCTCCTGCTCCTATCATTGGCAATAAACCACGCTACCGAAGACTGATTTTCCTCGGCCTAGGTTTGCGGTGAACTTGCAGACCGACTCCAGTGGAGATGACATTGCCTTCCACTTCAATCCGCGGTTTGAAGATGGAGGGTATGTGGTCTGCAACACGAAGCAGAAAGGGCGCTGGGGGCCCGAGGAGAGGAAGATGAAAATGCCCTTCCAGAAGGGGAAGCCCTTCAAGCTCTGCTTCCTGGTGCAGAGCTCAGAATTCAAGGTGAGCGGGAATCCCCCTCCCCGCCTCCTGCTCCCTGTCCCCCCAGCCCTACCAGGCTTGATGAACAGCCTTTAAATAATTACGCTGAGACCAGGCCAGAGTGACACCACTATACAGATCGTTTCCTCATAAGGGTGTTACTGATCTCTGCATAGTCTCTTTACACACCTTCACCTGGATCTACAGGTGCGCCTCTTCTTTTACTCTGAAAATAAAATTTAGATAAATCACCATGTTAATTTTTGGCCTCTTTGTCTTTAAAATTCAAATTAATTCCATTCCTCTGGGACATGGATGTGCCATCCACCCGGTGTGACCCAAGGTCAACTCCCCTCGGCTCCCCATGAGCATTTTTATGCATATTGAAGTAATACCCCATATGAGATATGGTGAGAAAGACAAACTAGTGCAATCAACAAACGCACGACCATAAGTACTAAAAGCCAACAACTAGAGCCAAGGAGGGACTGGCACAGCACTGAAGGCTGATGCCATCAACCTACAGTGATCGATGTGAAAACCAGACTTAGGTCTTTACTGCTCGAAGCAGGGACTCAGGAGCTCAGGTGCGCTCTGGTCCCCTGGCCTGAGACTCCTCCCCCATAACACGCGCTCTCCTTTGGCAGGTGACGGTGAACGGCAGCTTCTTTGTGCAGTATGCCCACCGCATACCCTACCACCGCGTGAAAAACATCTCTGTCATCGGCTTTGTCCAGCTGTTCGACATCAGCTTCCAGGTCAGATCGTCCACCTGGCCCCTGTCCCCCGGGCTGGAGTGCAGGACCCAGTCTAGCTGTGCCTAGGTCCTGTTAGGTGGGCCCACAGGTACCAGCCAATCTCCTACCTGGGTGACTTCGGGGACACACTGGTTCCCCTGCCCGCTGTCTGCCCACCGCTTCTTCTCTGTCACTCTCTCCCTCCGTCTTGTGTTGCTGTCTCTGTCCAGAATACCTGCCTCCGTCTCTCAGACTCATCGGCCATTCCCTACTCTCTCACTGTCTATTTCCACCCTGTTTAGGAGGCTGGTTGGTTTGCAAACAGCCCTGTCTTGGGAGTTCTGATTCCCAGCTCTGCCATTCTTGTCTATGGGATGTCAGACGAGCGAGTTGGCCTCTCCAGACTCAGTTCCGTCACCTGGAGAATGAGCGTAGTCATTGCACCGCATGGGTGGTTGTGTGGTTCAGCGAGACGATATATATTGGGGTCATAAAATGGCCTCCACGGGAACACAACAGGGTCTGTTTGACCCTTCTGTGTCTTCAAAGTTTTGAACGTCTTGCCAACATCTAAATGGTCAGGAGATACCACATAAAGCACGGGAGGAGTAGGGCGCGCCGGGCCCACGTTTCCACAGGGTGCCAGCAGCTGGATGGGAGCGCGGCTGCCATTCTCAGCACGTGTGTGTGCTCCTCGAAATGAGCGCACAGTAGGTCCTCAATGAATACGAGCTCCTCTGCCTGTGGGCTCGTCTCTCCCATTCCCTCCTGCCTGCTTCACTGCCCTGCAGGGATAGAAGCGAGAGGGGTGGGGGAGACTGCCCCCTGCTGCTACCCACCAGCCTAAGCTCTCCTCTCCCTGCCCACCTGGCTCCCCTCCTGCCCTGCGCCTGCCTTTCCGCTCTTCCTTGCTCCATTAACACCGCTTCTCGTCACCCGTGGTGCTTTGTCTTAACAGAACATCAGCGCAGCCCATGTGCAGCCTGCCTTCTCCGTGGCGCGATTCCCCAAGCCTGTCTGTTTCCCACCCAGGCACAAAGGGCGCAAACCGAAAGTGAGTTGAACACAGAGGCCCGGGCTGAGCAGGGAGCAGGAAGGACAAGAGGCCAGCCAGGGCCTAAAGACTCCATTGTGCCCACCCAAGGGGCACCCAGAGCTCGGGACCTGGAGGTTGTCCTTGGTTTTTCTCTCCCCTTCTTTGTGTCTCTCCAACGTGCCACCCTTGGTCCAGGCTACTGTGATTCCTCCCTACGGTGACCGTGGCCTAGCTCACCTTTCCACCCTGACACCCACCCGCTGCCACAGTGACCCTCCTACAAGCAAATCCCATCACATCCTCTCCCTGCTTAGAAATTTTAAAAGCCCAAAACCCTTCTAAGTAAAGCCCAAATTCCCCAGCAGGACATGCAGCATCCTCCCCGTTCTGGACCCAACCCACCTCCCAGCTCACCCCGCACCCATGAAGCTCATGCAGGCTCTGCTGCTCACTCGAGGCCCCCTGCCCACCATGCTTTTGCACATGCTGTCCCAGTCCAAAAGCACCCTGTGCTCTCCCCGCACCCGGCAAACTCCTAACTGCCCTTCAATGCTCTGCTTAAGTGTCATTCCTCTGGGGAATTTTCCCTGCCCAGAGACTGCTGGATCTCCCTCTGTGTCCCCATGGACTTCATACCTATCTGTGCCATGCGAGTCACGTCCCCTCATTATAACTGTGTTTACGTGCCTGTCCCTGTCACCCCACCCTCACCTCCCCTACACCCACAAGCCCCTGGAGGGCTGAGATTGTGGCTTGTTCATTTGTGTATCTCCAGCACTTTGCACAGTGCGTGGTGCTCAATAGGGACTCAGTAAATGAATGTTAGATGTGGTTTGCACAGAGAGGTGGAATGGGGGACTGGCCAGGTAAGCGCAGTCTACTGGGTGGGGACAGGAAAGGTGGGCAGCCCTTCCTTTGGCCACTCAAGCAGTGGGGACCAGGGGAGGGGTGCTCTGTCAACACAGCCTTCCTATGGCCCATGATGGCACAGACAGGTCACCAACCTCCTGCCACGCTGACTTCAGGACTGGTCTAGCTCCAGGCAGCCTTTGCAGGGCAGACCAACTTTGGCCCTCGCCTGGGGAGGAGATAGGGATGGTGGATACAATCAGACAGAACTGGTACCATTTTGGATTTTATCACTTGCTACCTGGGCGAGCTTGGGAAAGTTGCTTAACCCTCCTGAGCCTCATTGCCTCCCCAGTGAAACAGGTGCTGAGAACGCCTCCCTCGTTGGAGGGCACCGAAGCCCAGCATTTGGCACACAACAAGCCTTCAGGAAATGCTAGTTTTCCCCTGATGGGTGAAACACAGCCTGGAAGTAACGCTCTTGCCTCTAGGAGCTAAGGGAAGAAATATGGACTGTGTCAGGCTCCCCCCCACCCCCACCCCGGGACATTCCCCCTCCTCCAACCCCAGCCCCACTGTGTTCCTCGGGGTGAGAATCCAAGTGCCACAGGCTCAGGATGGCTTGCTCGGGAGCAGGAGGGAGGTGAGAATGTCTGGGGAGGCATGTCTGACCAGAAGAACCTGCCCTGCAAGTTCTGCTCTCGCCTCTCACCCTCATGTGGCACCGACAATAACCACCATTTTTCTTTTCCTCGTCCCTCTCAGCCTCCAGGCTTCCATTCTGCCAGCCAGGCTCCCATTGTAAGTCTCTTTCTCTCTTTTCGGATCCTCTTCGTTTTTGTTCTTCTTGGAGGTTCTCCCACGGAGAGGGTGGGGCAGCCGAGGCCAGACCCCCTGTCCGTGGTGCTGTTGGGAGGGAGTTGGGGGTGCTTGGTTGGAGCCTGTTTGCTCAGGCTCCTGCCACTCTGCGGGCAGCCACAGAAGGCGGAGGCCTCACAGGCACTTCCTCCTGCAAAGTGAGCCTACCCTGAGAGAAATTTCCCGGGGAAGATGGACCCGGGGCCACAAGCACAGCCGTCTTTCTCCTTCAGGGATCTAACCTACCTGCCCGTCCTGGGGGCCTGGGCGGGGCTGTCGGGCTGGGCGCAGCTCAAGGTTCACTCACCTCGGAGGGCGTGTCAAGTGGCGCCCTCTGGTGGCAGGTGGTGGTCTTCACGCTGGCAAGAGCTGGTTAAGACCGGTTTCTTTCTTACAGATTCAAACGTTCACCCACAATGTGCAGGACGCCCCTGGACAGATGTTCCCTGTAAGTCTAAAAATTCCCACAGCTTCAATGTTCTTCTTCACCAACAACTGAATTCCCTAGAGTGCTAGAGTCAGGAAGAAAGTGGTTTAGCAAAGAGGATGGGGACATTAGGGCTGGCAATCAGGAGATATGCAGCTAACTGTCCTTGCGACAGCAGAGATTCTGGAGCAGGCTGGATTTATCCAGTGAATAAAGAGGCACATGGAGGGGCTGGGGGGCAGGTGACCACGATGGGGTTCAGGAACACAGCAGAAAGTTCCAGGAAGGCCAACGTGAGAAGGAAAGGGAAGAAACGGGAGAATCTCATTCAGAGCCTCCTTCTAGAATTTGCAGGTGCCCGTGTATGTGTGTGTGTATGTGTGTGTGTGTTCCCACACTGAATTTCCTGGTCTCTTTTCAACAGAATCCTGTAATCCCACCTATGGCATGCTTCAACACAATCTATGTAAGTGGTTTCTTGGGGGGCAGGGGCAGAGGTTTTGTTTGTGCTGGGCAGGCAGGAGAAGGGTAGGTTGGGGGTGGTCCTCTGGCCCCGCAAAATTAAAAGTAGTCCTGTGCTGAGCTGAAGTACTAAAAACCTCTAAGTAAATTAGAAGACTGCTGAAAGGAGCTTTCAACTTTAAAATTGTCACTTCAGCGCTAACAAATGATATGGCCTTCCTTTTGCATCCCAAGAATTTTTTTGTGTGCAGCTAAAGTTCCTTTCATGACACTTTTTTTTTTTTTCCTTTTTGTCTTTTTTCGTGTCCGGCAACGGACTGCAACCCTCAGTGTCGCGCCCGTACCGGACTGGGACCGGCAACGGGATCGCAACCCTCGGTGTTGCTCCCACACCTCGCCCAGCCAGTGAGCGGGAACCGGTCTGTATGTGGGATCCGAACCCTCGGCGGGAGAAGCGCCCCCAAGCGGCGCACTGTAGCAGTGCGCCACCGGGCCGGCCCCTTTCATGACACTTTTAAGCCCGCTGATTTGAGGAACACTATAAAGTATTCCTTTGGCATTTACTGAACCAAGGAAAGATATCGTGGGGTTCTTTCTTGAAGGTATTATTCACAGGCACAGTTGTCAAACTCAGCTGACTGTCCAAATTCATGAGAATTGCAGCAGAATCCCCCTCGTGCAGCAGCTGCTCTGGCTGCAGCTGTTTCACCTGTCCCCCTCCTCCCAACAGCCAATGCCTTTCTGCACCAGCATCCCAGGCGGGCTGTACCCATCCAAGTCCATTGTTGTGGGGGGCACCGTCCTGCCCCATGCTCAGAGGTAAGCCAGGGCTTGCTCCAGGGCTCGCAGGGAGGAGAGAGACCCTCCAGGTCATTCTGGCCATCCCCCTGGCTCCGGACAAGCTGGGGATGATGGGAGGGGCTGGGGCCTGGAGGTCAGTGGGTGGAGAAGGTCCATGCGAGCCTATCGCCCCAGGTTCCACATCAACCTGAACTCTGGGAATGACATCGCCTTCCACCTGAACCCACGTTTCAATGAGAACAACGTGGTCTGCAACACCCAGATCAATGGTTCTTGGGGGTCTGAGGAGCGAAGACCCCAACAAATACCCTTTGGCCGAGGCCAGGCGTTCTTGGTAAGGTGCTCAGAGAGGCTCACAGGGGTGTGAAAGGGGCGCAGAAGGTCTGGGGGTACCTTGAACGCAATGGGAGCTGATGTCTCTGGGGTGAGGAAAGTGTTCAACAAATCATTATTATTTTATTATTACTGTCCTGCACAAAGTAGGTGTTGGTATCTGCTTTTTACAGAGGAGGAAACAAACCACAAGGGCAGGTCACTTGCCTGAGGTCACAAGGCCCATAAGTGCCAAGTCAAACCCAAGAATGAGGTGCTATTTATTCACCTATTCATTCAACAACCATTTGTCAACTGTGGGGGCCACTCTGTGCAGGAAGCACCCATGCGCTGGGGGTGTAGCCGTGAAGCAGATCCTGCCCCAGGGAGCTCACGTTTTAGGTGGGGGGAGGAACAAGGAAACAAAAGCATGAACAGGTCACTGCAGATGAGGACAGGTGCTGTGCAGAAAGCAAACAGCACCTTGGGATAGAGTGAGCCCAGGGAGGGTGGAGCTCGTGCCGTCCTGCAGGGACATGGGCGTGGCTTGTCCAGGAAAGGCCAGGCCGGGGCTGCTGCGTAGAGTGAGGGCCAGAGGTGGGGGTGCAGCTGGAGGTCCAGAACACACGGTGCAGTGTTCTCCATCCTGTCTACACATTCAAATCACCCTGACAGCTTAAAAAAGAAAAATCAGTGCCTGGGTCCCACCCCTGGCTATGAGGTGCTCAGCCTGGGCATCCGTGTTTTTAAAATATGCCCTAAGTGATTATACTCTGCAATCAGGACTGAAAAGGACTGGTATAGGGCTTTGGCAGCCAACGAAAGAAGATGGGATTTTAATATAACTAGAAGCCATCTGGGTAGAGAGCAATATACCTTGATTGACAGAGCTGTGTGACCTTGGGCAAGCGACTTAACTACTCTGTGCTCCAGGTTCTTCATCTACAGCATGGAGTTATCATAACAGGAGTCTCATAGAGTTGTATGCCTCGTGGAGAGTGCACTGGGGTGGAAGAGACAAGTTAGAGGCTCCCGCTGCAGGAGCCCAGACGAGTGCATGCCTGTGTGCTGGGTACTAGGGAGGGCACAGCCAGCCTTCCTGTCCCTAGTAGCTCAGGGTCCAATTGGAGAGTGAGAATGGGGGGTGGGGAACATGGCCTGAGCAGGCAGTTGACTCAACTAGGCGGGGTTCAGGAGGCAGGGAAGGTGTGTCAGGTGGGAAGCGCAGGGGAACAGCATATGCTAAAGCATAGGGGAAGAAGAGCATGTGGCACGGTCAGTGAAGAGCATTCAGCGTGGCCAGCGTGCAGGTGGAGGGCTTATTACCGTTTGAGGAAGGAGGGACGGAGGGAGGCACGAGCCTGAACTTAGGTCTGAGGACTTCCCTAGTATAGTGCAAGCGGCATGGTCTCTCTGCCCAGGTGTGCATCACATGTGAAGGCCACTGCTTCAAGGTGGCCGTGGATGGTCAGCACCTGTTTGAATATTACCACCGCCTGAAGAACCTGCCTGCCATCAACAACCTGGAAGTGGCGGGTGACATCCAGCTGACCTATGTGCGGACATAGGTGGGCTCCCAGCCATGGGATGAGGGGTGCCAGTGTTGCTGTCTGGGTCCCCTCATTACCTCCACTTCCCTGTCCCAGACCCAGCCTTTCCACTCTACCCAGGACCTGTACTTTTCTGGAGAGACCATGTCCTTGTCTGGGCCTGCTTCTGGCCCAGCCAGCCAGGGTTGGAGGAGGCAGCTGGCTGGAACTGCCTTCCTCAGCCGTCCAAATCCTCCCGTCTGAGGAGAGAGGCGCAGCCAGTGGGAGGGAGGGGGTGGTCGGTGTAGAGAGGGAGGGTCCTGAGCCTTCCCAGGGCCCCAGCCCGGGCCTTCACCCCATCTGGCTCTCAACCACATTCCCATCCGCCATTCAACTCCATCCCAGTCCCAAGCCACCAGCTGCACTCCACGTGGGAGGTGACTTCCTCAGCCCCTCCTCTTTCTCTGGCCTTTAACCTCTCTCACCTTGCACCCTGCACCAACCCTTCATGCCTTCCAGGAAATCTACCCTGATGATACCCTGCTAGTTTCCACCAACAGACCAGAACTTTCTCAGCAGAGGGCTCTCTCCTTTCCCAGTGTCCTCAAAGTAAAGAAATAAAAATGCTTGTTGGCACATATGTGTGGGATGACTCTGGTTTATGAAATGTGTTTGGAGACATTTTGGAGTCTCTTGATTTGAGGGCGTGGGGACACTGCCAAGGGGAGTGACAGAACAAGCGTTCCCTTTGGGCAAGGGGGTCCTGACATCCACACCGACTCCCACCGGGTCCCTCACAAATCCCACAGGGTGTCAGAGAAAGCAGGGCTCAGGCCTCTTGGGCAGGAGTCTCTGATGTAGGAAACTTGGTAACTGGAGAGACCCAGGAAATAGCCCCATGCTTCTGAGATGGGAGAAGGGCTGGGACAGAGGCTGTACGTGCCACAGCAGAGCCAGGAAGCCAGACGCCAGGGCCGCCTCATCAGAACCTTGCATGGGAAGAGGTGGCAGGTGGGGTCAGGAGAAGCCGACTTGAAAGCAAGTCTGGTTATTGCTCCGCTGAAGGTCTGCTGACATTAGGGGTCAGGGTGTGTGGTTCTGCCAGCCACTGGGCCAGTGCAAGGAGCCCAGCTCTGTGTCCACGTGATGCCAACACATCCTACTAACTCCATCAGGAGTCCAGTCCTCGGGAACCAGGGTGGGGCTCAAAGTGTGGTCCTGAGACCAGCAGCAACAGTATCACCTGGAACTTGTTAGAAATGCAGAATCTCAGGTGCTGCCTCAGACCTACTAAATCAACGTCTGCATTTAACAAGACCGCGGGCGATTCATGTGCACATGAGAATGGGAGAAGCCTCGGTCTAGGTGACAGGACTTTTGACCACATTGTTCAGACGCATTGCTGTTGTTCAGGGCACAGAGCTTTTCTGGGGCACTGGAGGTCGGCACACCCGTTTCCCCTGCCCCTATCCCCACCCATTGAGTAGCCGCTGCCAGAAGTGGGAGGGGAGGGGGCAGTAGGTGAGGGAACTGGTGAATAGGCCAAACTGGAGCTGGGAGCCAGATTTTGCCAGACCCCCTCTTACCCCCAACTGAGTTCCTTCCTTGGTTCTGACCCAGAGAAGGAGATGAGGCTCAGTCTCTTAGGAAAGCTTCCCTGGCTGGCTGCAAACCCAGAAAATGTCCACAGTCTCTGGGCAAGGGTGTGTGCCCCCCGCTCACTGCCAAGTCCTCCATGCATGGCAGACCTCGCCTGCTTTTCTCAGATTACCAGCCAAACCCTCACGAAGCAGGTAGCCCCAGAGCAAAAGACTTTCTAAGACAGGGCTGTGGTCAAGGCCTTCACTATAGAATTAGCCTCCCATGCAGGGTCCCAACCCTTGCCACGCTCCTGTGCGAGGCACAGCTCTAGCCCCACAGGCAAGCCTGTGCCCCCGCCCCCACCACAGGCCTTCAGACAAGCACAAAACTCTACCTGCTGCCCCTGTGTCCCAGGCAGCCATTTCAGAGAAGCCATGGCCTGGCTGGTATGTCCCTTTTGGGGGATCTTGGTCCACACCGTGGCACCCAACAGCCCCCGCACTCTATATAATTTCAGGCTGCTTTCCCAACAAAACACCCCCGCACACACAGTGTGTTTAAAATAAAATGCATTTTATATAAATATCTCCATTAAGGGATCATATAGGGAAGTGGCCCATGGGAGCAGACTGGGGTATGTGTTTGTTTTTTTAAATACAGAGGCATAAATAACTGTACACGGGGAGGTAAATACAGAGTGGCACGACAGTGCCTCCTGGTGGTCACTAAAAGTAGTGCAGTCAGAAGAAGGTTCCATCTTTCTCTGACCCACTTGCCAGGCCTGGCATTGCAGATTTAGTCTCCAAGTGACCAGGGAGGGCCCAACTCGAGAGAAGAGGCTCCAGTCAATCCAGAATGCTACTTGGCAGTAGGTCAATAAAGGGCTTGTGGGGGAGGGACGGGGAAAATAATGTGGTTGGGACATCACTTTCCTCCATCTCCCCAGGCCTTATGACCTCAGATAATTGAGCGTTGTCTCCATCATTAAATTCTGTGCTGGCAGCTTTAACTTCTCACGTGGGCCATCAGAACACTGAGGTGTCCAGGCTGCTGGGCTGCTCTGCTGCCCCGGCCTTTTTCACCTCATAGGAAAACACAGCACCGAAGATATCTTCATGATAGCGCTTCTGGCTCTTTAAGGGGAAACAGAGACCAACGTGTCAGCTCCACGGCCCAGCGCCTCTCAGTATCAAGTCCCAGTGGGGACAAGCCCCTGGGGTTGCCCAGCTTCCCAGCACACACATGTTCAAGAGCCAACTGTCATGCTTAGACTATGCTTGAATTTGGTTTAGAGTCTTTAACCCCCATCAGCGCCTGTTCTGGCGTGGACGATCTCAACATCTCCCCAAGCTTTACTGGCGTTCCCATCTCCCTCCTAGCGCTTGTCCACAGGATGCCCCGGGAAATGTGAGCTCTGCAGTAAACACCCTTGGGAGATGTGGCCTACTTTCTCCTAGTCTTGAAGTGTCACGATCACAGCAGCCTGTGCAAGGCTCTGAGAAGCCTTGTTGTAAAGCAACGTGTTGTCTTTGTTTCCCTGAGCATGTCCCAGGCTACTTGACTCTGGAAACTTTTTGATGCCAAATACCTATCGTCCCACTGAACACATTTTGGGAAATGTCTGTGATCCCCTTGCTGGTCTTCAAACTCCCCAGACTAACTCCCACCCCAGGGCCTTTGCACATGCTGCTTTCTCCAGAACAGCCCAGAACTCTGTTTCCTTCAGTATCCACAGGCCTCCCTCCTCACCTCCTTCAGGTCTTTACTCAAATGTCACCTTCCAGTGACACCTTCCCTGACCATCCTATTTAAAATTGTACCCCCCCAACTCTCTTTGTGCTTCTCCAGTTTAGCTTTTCTCTGAAGCACTACACATTTACTTGTTTCATTCTGTCAGCCCCACTAGAAAGTAAGCTCCATCCAGGTAGCGATTTTTGCCTGTCTTGTTCGGTGCTTTATTCCCAGCACATAGTAGGTACTCAATAAATATTCCATTGGCCATACGAATGTGTCTTAGGGAGAGCATAGAAGTGACAAGCACAGGCTTTGGAGCCAATAAGAGGCAGACTGAACTCTAGGCTCTAGGCCCCTTCCCTCCATAAAAGGGGGGTGATAGCAGTGCCTCCCTTTATAAAGTCCTTGGGAGGACTGGATGAAATGCCACCTGAAAGTCCTTGGTGAGCACCCGGCCCAGCATAAGCCCTTGGCAAATGTCACTGCTATTATCATCATTAAAATGCAAGCTCTTCCTGCTGGTGAGGATGAGGGTGAGCTGACACCCACATGGGTGTAAATAACAGGTATGAGGTTCACACGAGGCTGACAGAGGGGGCAGCCCTCCTGTCCCTGGTGTTCACAGCCCTGCTTTGACTACACAGATACTTTCTGAAAGGGGGCTTTGAGGAGAGGACAAGGGGACTCTGCTGCTCCCATTCCACAGATGGAAAATAGAGCACATTGACCTGACTTCTCAAAGCTAGCTGGCAACCAGACCAGGATGTAGAGTTAGGCCTTCTCACAGCCCAGCCAGCTCTGACCTCCTGCCACTTCCAGGATTCTTTGGGGGCCGAGGACTGTTCTGGGCCCAACTCCCTGGTTCTCTACTCCCCCCGCCCCCCACAGTCCTGGCTCCTGTGGCTCCCCAGCCCCCACACCAGCTACCATACCTTGAGCTGGAAGAAGTAGTCCTCAGTCTGCTCCTCGCTCAGGCTCAGCTTGGCAGCCACCAGCCGCTTTAGGGTGTGGGCCACGTCCCGGGCCATGCGCACATCCCCACAAACATAGATGTGGCCTGGCTCCTCGTGGAGCACTCGCAGCACCTCGCTGGCCAGCTGCTGCTGCAGGATGTCTTGAACATAGACCTGAAACCAGAGGAGATGGTGGTTCCAGTCCCCTGCTGCTGGCAGCGAGGCTTGTGGTCAGGCCTGCTGGCCACAGGGAGGCAGGGAGAGGGCATTAAGGGCTGCAGGGTGAGCACCCTCCTAGCCAGGACCTGGCACAGGGACCAGGTCCAGAATAAGGAGGTGCACTGACACCCTGCCCAGCCCAAGCCCAGGCTGGGGACTGGTACCAAAGAGATGAATATCCCGTCCTTAAGGAGCTGACCAACTAGCGGGGCTCCTAGATTTTCTCTCAATTTATCATATTTCAAAGAGGCATCAATCAAGCCAGGTTCCCCACCCACGGCTCTGAGGCCCACCTGCCTATACCCTGGAAAAGGGAGCCTGTCAAGGCAGACTGCTCATCAGATCCCTGCTGTAATTCAGGGCAGGGGTACAGATCGCTGGACTCCCCAGTTATACAGAAGGCCCAGGAGTCAGTTGGGGACTTACTGCTCTTGTTCCATACCAGATGCCTGGTGGCTCCAGCACTGAGAACAGAGCACTGGGTCCCAGAGGAACCCTGATGGGACAAGTTTGTGAGGGCTGAGAATCTATTCTGACACCCCAGGCTCATGGCGCAAACTGCCCCTAGGGGCAGCACAGCCCATCTGAGGGCCGTGGTGGGAGCACTGGCCACCCTCCAGCCTTGCTGGGCTTGAGCAGAAAGCTGGCACAGACCACCTCTCCCTGGACAGTTGTGCATCCCAGGGAGGCTGCTGGGGACCTTCAGCAGGCTGGGCTCTGGGGATTAACCAGCAGTGTAACCCTAAGTTGGTCCCAAACCTCTCCAAGCCTGTCTCTTCCCCTGGAAGAGAGGACATAATGATCTTCATAGCATCACTCTGATGGTTGCATAATTACCCCCATTTTAGAGTTGGGGGAGATAAAGGCTCAGAGAGGTGAGAGGCTTGTGGGGAGCCAGAGCACAAGCTTTTAATGCTCCACCTACTGTGAGGCTGCACTTACCTTGGGCTGGCCGGGCAGGCGAGAATAGGCTGTGTGCATCTCATGCAGCACCCCCTGCTGGGCCATCTCTAGCATCTCCTCCTGATAGAGGTGGTCCTCGTCTGGGCGGCGGCATCCAAACACCAGCGTCATGCGGCCACCCTGAAGCCCTGCAGGACCCAGCAGGGGGCAGTTACTGTGATGGCCACCAGAGGGCGGGCCATTGAATTCT